TTTGGGGCTCTCCAGTGCCTAAATTTGCTTTACAAACTGTTCCAAATGTTAGTTTTGTATTCTGTGAGGGTTTCTTTTGTATGTTTGCTTGTTTGTTCAATTTTTTATTAGTACTTATGTGCAGTGTGCAATGATTACATTCTTCCCAGAGAGTTGGTGCCTGTACATAACACATCCTGATTCCTGTTTATTCCTTTCTCTTCTCTCTGTCCACCACTCCTCCATCTTCTGGTCCCCTTCCCTTTGGCAAAAGATCTATCTCTCTAATTCTTATTGTCTATCCATTATTTTATTTGATGTGATTTTCTTGGTTTCTCTTATAAGAGGAACTGTGTGCTGTGTAAGTTTATGTGTCTGATTTATTTCACTTAGCATTACGGCCTCAAAGTGAATCTGTTTTGCTACAAACAACTCAAATTCAAACTTTCCTTCCTAAAAGCAGAGGAGTTAGGCATCACTGGGCAGAGGAACTTCCAGAATACATTTCCTTTCCCTTTGGGTCTTATTCCTGCCCTCCACACTCCAGCCCGAAGCAGAAGGCCCTCCTGGCAGATTAAACTCTTCCCCTTTTTAAGAAAGCGGGAGCCCCTGCCTGCTGGTAGCCATCTGAGCCCAGCAAGCCCACTCCTTCCAAGTAGCAGCCCACCCCCTTGTAAACCTCTAAGCTGTGATAAGTCTCGAGTGTTCTGATAATGAGACAGATGCTCTGGGAGCAGGCCGGGCAGGACAGCCCACAGGGCTCAGGCTTGACCCAAGTCCTGGCCCCAACCTGCAGCTCAGGACCGCCCTGCCACCCCAGGAGTGGGAGACCATCCACAATGCTGACTGGCGTTCCGCTTGAGACAGACCCTCATCCCTACCCATCAAGTCAAGACTGTCCCCTGCCTTTTGAAGTCTAGAATTTTCCCCTTTCTTCTTTAACCCCCTATTCCTCTTTTGAAGCACCCTTAGGAATCTTTCCCCCTCAGCTCACATTTTTCACTGCTTCTTTACCGTTTGTTATATGACCTTCTCTCTGCTGCCACCGACAACCTCCAGCTTAGGAGTCTGAATGAGTGGGTCACTTGAGACAAAAACTGAAGGCTATGGGGGCCAGTTCACTATACTGGATGCTGGCTGCAGGGTCGAGTAGGTCATCATAAACCCCTGTTCACAATCCCTTGTCCCCTACGTCTTCAAATCCATAGGTCCAGTGCATCTCCATGGCAACACTGCCTCCTGAAGTAGAATTTTGTGCATCAAATGCAATCCCTATTTCACCAGGCTCCTTTTGATGGAGTGCTTTCAAATTCAAGAGCTACTTCCTTCTGAAAACCCAACCTTTTCTTTAAAGATGCCAGTTGGTGTCTGGATCTTATGAAACAAGGGGATGGGAAAGTGCATTTTACGTATAGGCTTTCATAATCATTGTTATGGCTCATATCTGCGTACCCCGCCAAATCTTCATAGGGTCATAGGTGGAGCTTTTTGGAGTTAGCTGGATTCTAAGATGTGATGCTGGATTCAAGCATGTGATGCTAGATTGCTTCATGATGAGATGTTAGGAGATGCTAAGACTAAGGCTTACCCACCCTAGGGATGAGGGCTAGCCTGGATGAGATACAGGGGACAGGAAGAGGGTCATTGCTTGTTGCTTGTAGCTCGCTGCCTTGCTGCCTTCTGCCTGTCATGAACTGTTCTCTGCTATATCAACCTGCTTTGATATAGTTGGACTCAGCCAACTATGATCTGAAACCTCTACAAACTGTGAGCCAAATAAATATTTCCTCTTTTAATCTTTGGTGTTGGGTATTTTGCCTCAGTAACAAAAAAAGTAACTAAAACAATCATAAATAATACCATTCACCTACTAACATCTCCAAGGAAATTGGACAAATGGATGTGGATAATTTAAGACCCTCTATCAATATTACATGGAAACCAAGTAAGCAAACAAACAAAAAATTGTACAGTGAGATTGTTAACCATAAAACTCCTAAATGTAAGGATAATATGTTCAAGTCTAAAGCTTGATATCCACTTTGATAATGGAGAAAAAGAATGGCATTCCTCTGGAAGCATTTGGAAGCACGTCTTCAGAGCTTTACAGATTCGGCATATGAGAGCTGAATGTAAACAAGAGTACACGTGCACTTGGTAAGTAAAAAGCACTTGGTGAACCACAGCAAGAGTCTTTATGATTATTGTATCAGAGATAGGCAGTCTCATCTTCAAATAAAGCAATGGAGGCACATTGTGTTCCACCACCCCAGAATTCCTCTCTTTACCGTGCCCTAATCATTACTCTCAAAGCAAAAGCCACCACACAGTAGACAAAGCAGCATCTTTCAATCCCTAGCCCCGATCCAAAGAGTACAACAGTCAGAAATACTTAAAAAACAAACATCCAGTCACCAGATGTCCCTAACATCTGGCTAAACCTATTAAACTGTGCTTTAGCGCCTCTACCTCTGTCCTAACTCCAAAATGTGGTGGTGGGGGATGTACAGAATCTCTGATGTAGTGAAACAAGATCTTGAGCGCATTCATCCTTGAGACTTTTGTCTTTATCTGATGCATATATTCCTGAATGGGTCCTCGGTATGCAGAGGCACACAAGGCCTAAGGAACATTGAGTCCTATGACAACAGGCTGGAAGGAAAGAACTTTTAATAGTCTATTCTTTTTTAACAAAAGAAAAGGTAGATAATAGGAAGAAGGGAGAAAGGTCTTTCTCAAACAGGAAGACGATCAAAAGGTGGAGGAGGAGTGGAGAAGGGAGGAAAGGGGATGAGAAAGAATTGAAGATGTACTCTGTACGTGGACCAACTCCACGCGAGGAATGTGTACACTGTGGGCTCCAAGCATGTACTAATAAAAAATAGATCATCTGAAAAAGAGAGTTCATTCTTTTTTAAAGTTCTAATCTCAATTCCTGGAAATCAAAAGGGAAAATTCTAAGTGTGTCACAGGACAAAGATGAGAGGGACAATTGAAAGAGGAGAAAATGGCAGTGCAAAGTGGTGACAGTAATCTGAGTTGGCAGTAAAGGAGTAGAGATGGTCAGCCTTAAAACTGTCAGGACCCAAAGGTCAGGCACCAGTCCAGTGGGAGAGGGGTCTGCAGAGAGACTGTCAAACCCAGCCAGCAGCAGCTGTTATGGGAATTGAAGGGGGCTGCTCTATTCAAGGGGTGCATACCAGAGCCCCAACTCCTCTGTTTGGTAAGAGGCCTGTGTCTCCTCCAACAGAGGCACCCACGCATGGGCTCTAGGACTTGGTCGATCCCCAGCATGGACACTAAATTACAGACATTCCGGGATACTCGCAGGGCCCTCCTAGGTCAGGATGGGTTAACTTAGCCCTGCTCAAACAGTGATGGGCTAGAAATCAGTGCTCAAGCCCGGTGTGCCTGCCCTGTCATCCTTACCTTTCAGGAGCCGAGACAAAAGAATCCCTAATCTGAGCCTCACCTGGGTAACTTAGCACTTTAACAGGTTCTAGTCTCAGAATCAAAAGTGCTAGGAGTGTTGCGCAGTTCAAAGGCCCTCAGTGCAATCCTCAGTATTGCCAAAAAGAAAAACTAAGAGTTAGGATTGGCTCTTGGGTGTGTCTAGGTTGGGATTTTGCAACCCAGCTACTAGTAACATTTGGGACTGAATAATTCTTTGCTGTCAAGTGCTGTCCTGTTCACTGCAGGACACAGAACAGCAGTGCTTATTTCCACCCACTTAATGCCAACAGTACCATTACTCTTCATCCTGGCAATCAGTGTGGAGCACGAGACTGCCACCAGCTGAGGACTGTCGTTCCAGTAAGGAAGAAATCCTCCCTTAGCACACTGCGCCCGTGCCTGCCTTCAGCGGTCCAGCACGGAGCCTAAGACACCCTCACCATTACACAGCTGAGCAGCTGCTGCCCCAGACACAACACAGTAAGTGCATTCATCTTAACAGTTTGAAAATAATTGAAGTGTTCACCTCTTCCATTAACGCGCGCACATGCACACACACACACACACCCTCTTAGAAGTGCAGGACAAACCCACAGCTGCACAAGCCATTTCTTTTCCTAGTATGATAAAATTAGTAAAGGAGCTAACTGTGAGGAGAAATCTGCATGAGTCTAGGGTCTTTGGGAGCAGTAGCAGGAAGCCAAGGGAAGAATGAGAAGTAAGTCACTGGGGGTCTAATACAGAATTTGAGACAGGGGACCACTTTTGTGGGATAGATATTACCATGAACACATGCTTGGGCAATTGTCCTCCTCAAATATTTATTAAATATTCACTAGTAATCACCATCATTTACCAACTGTGTAACACTGAAAAAAATTACCAATTTGTCTAATTTTTTCATCTATAAAATAGAGAGACAAGAGCATGCCTTATAGGATCAGAAGGTAGCCTAAAGGAAAACACTCAGCCAGGCCCTGACACTCACTGGCGCCTCAGTGGGGTTAGCCACTACTGTAATTTGCATTTGGATGGACTAATAAATAGACTGAACTAATAAATGATGGCATAGCATGCTGTAAAGCTACGACACATCTGGTCCCGACTGTTATACCCTTAGTGATCACTGCAGCCCTTTAACTTGGGAACGGACTCCCAATACATAGCAGATGCATACACAGCACCTGGTCACCTGACACTAGCCAAGACCCCAGCTCCCGGGGGAGTTCTCTCCCTCCAGGCTGAGCACCCAGGGCCCTTGGTCAGTGAGGGTGATTTCAGCTGACTCAAATGCTTCAGTAAAGAGGAATCTTATTTGCTTATATTTGTTTATGTAACTGGACATTCAGAAATTCAGCAAGTTTTGTGAACGTGCGATCAGGGTTTGGCTGTGTTTGCCAATCTGCCTTTCCTTGGGCATCCTCTTTGTTCAGAGTGGCTTATGATCATGAGTTTATGCCACCAGCAGAAACTGAGACAGAGACACAGAAAGAGAGACAGAGACAGAGAGACAGGGAGAGAAGAAGATTACAGTGCATAACAGGTGATTGAAATAGTGAGTGCATAAATAAAAAATTTTAAAATTTATTACAGTAAAATACATATTACCATTAGTTACCCTTAAAACACTCCCCCTTATTTTGTGTCTTTACAACCCATAATTTAAAAAGTATAGTTCGTTTTTAAAAAAGATAAAATGGAAACAAAGCTTTGTAAGAAGGGTTAGGAAGAGGAATTGAAGGGAGGAGAAGGGATTGGGGAAAAAAAGAGGTATCAAAATATATCACTTACAGACACAGATTCCCTGGGATGAACATGATCATTACTTTTGTCTAAAATGCACTAATAAACAATTTAAAAAATACAGTGCTGCTGAGTGCCACCCAATGGAAAAGCAGCCTCCTAAAACATTATGCCGTGTCCCCCTCCACCTTATTCATAAGATCTGGCACCATGTGACTTCTGGCTCTTCCCTGAAGTTGAAGTTACTTTGAAGCAATTAATGAAGTTGAATTAATGAAAGGTAAATGTTTTGAAACAATTTGGGATTTTGAGGAAGTCAACACAGTACAAGGAAAGAGGACTTCAGGACTGCTTCCCAGGTGGCGGGAATAATATAATAATGGGGAAAGCGTGTTTCAAGCAAGTACCTTAAAGGTAAAATCTGTCTTTCTCCATAACTGAAAACTTTTTAATACTTACCATATTTTATGTCATACCTTGTATCTTACTTATCAAAGCATAGACAGAGCATTGGTCAAACTACAGAATTAAGAGAGTTATTTTTTTAAAAGATGAGAAAGAGTGTTTGTAGAAACTTCTGAGATATGCTTTGAACAAGGTAAGGTTGTGGGGCCACTCCTGAGCCCAGCGTTTTCAAGAAAGACTTGGTCTTCTGAGTGTCGCCAAATCTTAGCCCTGCATTGCAGTTCATGGTACCTGACAGGCAGCAAGGGGAAGACGACGCCCCGGCCCCCGGAGGTCTCAGGAAGGAAGGCAGCGCAATGGGCTTCTCAAAGTCTTCACATATTTACAATTTTGAAGCTTTTGTTTTTTTTGACAGGTTTTTGCTGTGCAGTTCAGGCTGGCCTTGGGCTCGCTTTGTAGCCAGGCTGGTCTCGAACTTGCAATGATCCTCCTGCCTCAGCCTCCCCGGAGTGCTGGGATATAGGAGTGTACCACCACACCTGCCTACTTTAAAGCTTCTTATTAAAGACATTGCCACTTTCTTTCCTTAGAAATTATGTAAGAGACAAAGAAGAAATGAAAAAATAAAAAGAAAGAGAGAGATAGAGAGGGAGACAGAGACAGAGAGAGAAAAAAAAAGGAAAAGAAAGAGAAGAAGGAAGAAAGGAAGGAAGGAAGGAAGGAAGGAAGGAAGGAAGGAAGGAAGGAAGGGGGAGGCAGGGAGGGACAGAGGGAGGGCTGAGTCCCAGGGAGACCTCGTAAAGAAGTGAGAATCACAGGATGCTGAGACAGCTGAGGGGACCACACACCCCAGGAGGGATCTGGAGAAACTGACCAAAACAGGGAAAACAATGCTTCTTAATGGGAGAGCTGTGAAATGCACAAAAGTCTCAAAAAGATGAAAATTTCGTACAGTTGAATTCCAAAGACTCAGACATCCCACAAACCGCTTCATGGTCTTTCCTGTCGTTTCATTTGCTCCGTGTAACAAAAAACAGCTCCACACCCTCGGATGTTTTCTAACACGTTGCAGGGAAGTTGGCTCGTCTTCCTTTTCCGAAGCTTCTCCTCTGAAACACCATAAATCTTTAGCAGTTCTTCAAGTATCGAATTTACTGTTGGTTTCCAGGGTTCAGCTGCAGCAGACGCTCAGATCCTGTCTCCTAACGGCCTGAAGATGTCCCCTGAGGACACAGATGAAGAGCTGAGAAAACCCTTCCCTGCATGCCTGGGAGCAGTGACTACTAGGAAATGCGTTTCTCATGAGCCTGGAGCTTATGTTCAATCCTGTGACGAAAGCCACTTCTCTGTGAGTCCTGGAAGAAGGTGGAGAGAGAGAATCCAGCGGAACTCAGAAGCAAGAATGCACTGCTCCAGGTCAAGGAACAGAGGAAACGCCAAAGAAGGCACAGGTGCGTGAGAGGGACTGGTTATGGCTCCGTCTCCAGCTTACGTCCAGTGCCCCTCCCTGACCCCACAGCAAAGCGTGGACAAGCGCATGCAGCCAGCCCTCCTCCATTCTAGCAAGAGGCCCTGTGCTTCCACCCAACTCACAGCTGAGTCCCAAGTATGAATGTCACTAAGAGGAAAGCCCGAGAACGCTGAGCTCCTTGCTAAAACAAGTCACCCACGCTTTCTTTTCTGTCCTACCTCTCCCGAGGGTGGGCCAGCACCACCCCACCCCTTGCTCACCTCTGCTCTACCCCTGAGCTAGCAACTCGACCGGTGTATCTGTAGCCACAGTCGTATACATCTCAGCCACTGAGTCAGCTCTCCAAGCACAGATGCCAAAGCTGAATGGCTGGGGGAAGAGGCCACACGTTTTGGGGATTTTTCCCTGGGGCAGCTACCTCTTTTGTGTGTGGACCAGCACGCAGGGCTCTGAACTCGGCCAGGGGACGCCTCCTGGGTTTAGGTGGTCAGTGGGACACATCGTCCCCCCGTGACACACATGTGCACACGAAGTTATGTGAACTCGAGCCTTCTGTTTCTGTTTATTTGTCTTGCATTGTGTTGTTTTATTAACCAGAAACTTGAAAAGGATGCTGTCTTTGTTGTGCTGCCATTTGGCAGAGGACTAGAAGTTACAGTAGCAAACAGAGCCTAAACATTTTTTTTTTAAACTCGATGAAAGTTCCTTCCAGAGAGAAAAACTGCATCCGATTCCCTGCCTCCCATTGAACCTCTGAAGGACTTCCCACACCTCACCTTCAAATAACAAAACCCTGGCCAAAGAAAATGGAAAAACATAAATTTTTGCACGTAAAATGAAAAATCAGAAGGTGCAGACAGGCCTGTGTCAACAGGGTATTTTTAGGCATTTGTGAATTTTTTAAGTCAGGCTTAAGGCATGGCTCTCTGCACGTGGACCCAAGTTGTACTTTTCAGGATCTTTGTCAACCGTGGCTATCCCACAGTGGGTAATAGCCCCATTTAAAAGATTGGGAAAAGTGAGGGCAGGTGGGGGATAAATGACTGGCATAGCTTCCCTGTTGTTGAGAACCAGACGTAAATGTCTGCTCATGACCTCAGCACATCTCTTAGGGCAAAGATGCTATCTTCTTTCATTCTTGATCTCTATTTCTCAAAACGAACACATTGACTTCTTCCCTGGAATTTAAACAGTACCAATTTATAGTATTTTGTATTATTTTGTCTTTCCACGTCCTTAAAAGCAAAGAAAAACCAAACAGGAAGAGCTGGGCTCTGGGCTCTGGGACCTCTGCTCCAGGCGGCAGTGAGTGACGGCTCTGGTCAGGGCTTAGTTATCTCCGGCCCTGCTCCCTGGCAGCAGAGGAGATGAGCTCAAGGGGTCCGTTTTCCCTCCATTTCCCCCAACAGACACGGGTGGCTGGTCTCAGCGATCAAGCTGTGGCAGTTAGAGGCAGGAAACGGAATCGGAGAGGAGAGAGGCGAAGTTACCCCCGTGGGGCGCCCAGGGTGCTCGGAGTTCTGGGGCCCAGAGCCCCCACCGGCTTTGCACCGAGCCTCAGAGCCTGTGCAGCCCCTGCGCTGGAGCCAGGTCACCTTGGAGGAGCGGCCCAGAGCCATCAGCAGGACTGACACTAGGCCCAAGGCACACACAAACACCAGCCTGGGCGTCGGGATGTCCAGCCCCAGCCTTGCTCCTTGCCATGTGGAAAACTGGGTGCAAATTGCTCCCCTTTCACCCTCTGTCATCGCCAACTCAGATGTGTCCTGTCGTGGAAGGAGCAGGAAGGATAGCCCTTGGTACCCAGCGGGAAAGACAGTTTTTGCAGCCCTGGATTCTTTTCTGCAGCTAAAGGCCCCGGCCGGAAACTGCATGTGTGGAGCTAGAGATGCTGTGGATGCACTGAAATCATGGTGGCTGGATCCTGCAGGGACAGTTCTTCCTACAGTCATAGCATGGTAATCAGAGTGCAAAGGCTTGTTGGCTTTTATGCATAACTGAAGAACATTGCGTGTAAACTGGACAAACCCTCACAGTGTGTGTGCGTGAGAGAGAGAGAGAGAGACTCATAAACTGAGGGCTTTCTTGCATTAATAAATAGTTCAAAAACACCATTAGCTTATCATGCTGCCTAGTTCTGTTTAAAAGTGAGTCAGCAGTCAATCACAAAGACGCTCGGTTTTTCTGATAAATGGCAATTCATGGCACAGCCCTCGTATGTGGGCTGGTTTCAGAGCAAATAGTGCAACACTGTTTTCTGAGCCCTTTGGCAACCACAGGTGCCAAGTGCTTTACAGTCTACTGTAACCGTATTTTGTCAACTAAGTAAAATGTTTATTCATATAGCTAGTTAGGTTCTAGTGTAAGAAGTGCTGTAAGCATAATTCAATTTAATGTTTACTAGAGCACGCAAAGATAATTGTTATTGCCTGTTTGTACCTTAATGATGGCTATCGGCAGCTTGGGACAGCTAAGTAACTGGTGAGAGACACACAGGCAAAGTGATGCCACGAACCTGGAACTGGTGACCAAAAGCTGGAGACCTAATCACTCTGCCTCACTGTAGTTAGTTTAATAATAATTACTAAGTTATTCTTCACAACACTCTTGGTCAATCACATTTTTGAGCTCTTAATACATGCTCCAACTTCTACAGATCTTTCTTTTTCAAAGGGGTAAATAGAGGGAGGTACTATTAAATTGCAAACATAACCAAACATATAAGCACAAATAAGTCTCTATGTACGTACAGCACAACACAATTGTTCAGGCCTCACTTTGGAGACAACAGTACTGTACTTTTACTTGTTTGAAAATTCAGGTGAATTTTATGTTCATGTTGTCAGTTGTGAACCATTCATGGGATGCTAAATATTGATATTTGCAGTTTAGCCTGGTCACTAATGACAATGGGTAGCAAAATGTAGTGACACAGTCAGATAAAATCATGAGCAACACTCCTGTGCATACAATTTCTTTAAAAGATGCATTCATTTGTCAAATTACTGTGCTTTGAAATATTGTCAAGATATCAGTTCTCTTTCATTGTATCTTTAGGTGCACTATAATCTGATCTGAAACCCAGCAGGCTTTTAATAACATCACAAAGGAGACTCTCCAGTTTAGATATCAGTGCATGCCAAGAAGGCAGAACAACTAAAAACAATTTTGCAAAATAAATAAAATCAGAGGGCTCATGTTTACCATGCAGCTTATGATTTTGAGATTTACTGCAATCAAGACCATGTGGAAATGGCAAATACATAACTATGCAGATTTGTGGAACAGAATAACAAATCCACAAGCAAATGCACACAAAATTGACTGGATTTTGACCAAAGTGAAAATAAATTTAATGGATTTTACTTCCTGAAAAGACCATCATTTCAATAAATGGTGCTAGAACTTAAATGTCTATAGACAAAATTAATTGAATAATGAAATAATGAACCATTATACAGACTTCACATATGAACTTAATGGTATAATTTAAATTATTAAACTTATGGAAGAAAGCAGGAGAATATCTGTGTGCTCTTGGGTATAGTAAAATATTTCTAGATGTGACAATAAAAGCAAGATTCATAAGAATAAAAAACAATTATAAATTAGATTGTACCAAAATTCAAAAAATTTACTCTGGAAGATACTGTTTAAAAGATGAAAAATATTTGGAGTACATATATTTATATCCAGATAGATACATCAGATAGATAGATCAATAGAGAGGGACAGAATTTCTGTCTCCCTCAAATTCATAGAGCCTGAAACTCTAATCCTAATGAGTCAGGAATATTTGGAGTTAAGAACTTTACAGAGGTAACTGCGGTTAAATGAGAGCTTTTGAGTGGTTCAGTATGACAGAGTCCTCATAAGAAGGGTAAGAAATGCTGGGTGTGGCAGTGCACAGAAGAAAGACCACATGAAGACACAGCAAGAAGCCAGCCACGGCAAGCCAAGGGGAAAGACCCACGGAGACACTAAAGCACTCAGCACCTTGATCTCAGACACCCAGCCTCAATAACCATGGAAAATATATTACTATTGCATAAACCACCCAGATTGCGGTGTTCAGTTACCATGCCAAGCCAACTAAGACACAAACAGAAAGAAGAGAGAGAGAGAGAAAGATCCAGAGACATTTCTGCATCCGTGTTAGCATCCATGCATCCAGGGTCTCGTGTGGTCTAAGCAGCAGTGCCCCCAGCAATGAGCACACTTGTTTCCAAATCCCAGCTTGGAAATATCACTTTCCACTCAAAGAAGCCACCAGGGAATCTTATTGAAATGGTTGATTCCAGAGCTGGCGGAAGGAAAATACACGATCCCAGAGCATACTGTGGGGTCAGAAACTAAGGAGGTACTAGAGGAAAACCCTAAAAAGATAGGGACATGTCAAAAGGCTGCAGACGCTGACGTGAGAGAGCTCCAGGGGCCATGGCCAGACATGGTAGACAGTGAAATAAACAGTGAATGTACCAGTGCACTCCAAAGAACAAAGTACCTGTTAATCCATTTTACATAGATGGTTGAAGGAAGGAAGGAGGGACAACTCTTTCTTGCAAAAAATTTCCAACTAATAAATATAAAAGGAACACGTGAAATCTCTCTGAAAGCGCCACATTAACTATTGCTCCAGGCGAACTGTACCAGGGAATGCTCACATCACTGAGCAAGAGGAAGAGCAGGGAAAAACAGGGACTTTGGTATAGCCTCAAAGTGCTCCTCACAAAAACACTTAGCAATTCTAAAGTATTTCCTCACTCAATCTTGTAGTAACTTCATAATGGGGAACCCTGTCAGGAGCAGGCTGACCAACAATCAAGGTCAGCATCACCAGCACTGAGGTTTGGATATGCATAATGTTCCCCCAAAAGCCCTTGTGACAAAGGCTTGGTACCCACAGTGGTGTAACTGGGATTGCTATGAATTTGGGGGATCCTTAACTCATAGGGTGTGCTACCCTCTAAGGGAACTGTGGAACTCAGCCACGCCATCCTGTTTCTTCCTGTTCCCCAGTTCATGATGCAAGAAATTTCCTCCTACACTTGCTTCTCACCTGTGCTATTGCCATCGCGCAGCCTCATCAGATGCCCAAAGCAATGGGGCAACATGATTTTGGAATGGATGCTCCAGAGCTATGAATCAAATATCCCTTTCTTCTTTATCAGGTCATGTTCTCAGGTGTTTTGTTATAGTCATATGAAGCTAAGTGATACAACCAATGTCAAGACACATCAGTGTCATGTGCCCCTGGCATGATGTTCTGCAAAAGACACATCACTTCTATAGTGTTCTTTCTCAAATATATAACCACAATTTAATCAAGGCAAAACTTCATATCTGGGTGCCAGCAGCTAATCATAGCTGCTTGGGTGGCTGATACAGGAGGATCACAAATTTGAATCCACATGGGCTATTTAGCACTGCCTCACCTCAAGGTAAAAAATTAAAATGACGGAGAATGTAACTCAGTGGTAGAGCGCTTCTC